CCCTGTCTCTCTTTCTATTTTCACTCATCCAACGACCGCAAATCTGTGAAAAGTTAAAGAGTTTTACATTGTGTAAGTGGATCCTAACCCCCCCTCTCTCTATATTTTCACTCATCCAACGACCGTAAATTTGTATAAAACTAAAGAGTTTTACATTGTGTAAGTGGATCCTAACCACCCTCTCTCTCTTTATTTTCACTCATCCAACGACCGTAAATCTGTATAAAACTAAAGAGTTTTACATTGTGTAAGTGGATCCTACCCCTCTCTCTCTTTATTTTCACTCATCCAACAACCGTAAATGTGTAAACTAAAGAGTTTTACATTGTGTAAGTGGATCTTAACCCCTCTCTCTCTCAGGGTTAGATTTAACTCATAAATAAATAGCTTAGATTTAGTTAAAATTTATAACCCATAAATAGAATTGCCCGTCCAACTCAGTTGGTAGAGCACAAGGCTCTTAACCTTGTGGTCGTGGGATCGAGTCCCACGGTGGGCAATTCATAATTCTGACTGCTGGAGGTCTCCCACGGAAGCTGCTCTCAACCTGGTGTTGGGGGCAGTCTACTATCCTACCTCCCCCTTATCCCATTACATACGGGAATAGGGTCAGCTCTTTTTTTTATAACCCATAAATAAATATTTCTTTAACTCATAGTAAAACAATATTTTTTTTTTCTTTTTTAGGGTTCTAAATAAATATTTCTTTAGCTCACAGTAAATATTTTTTTTCTTTTTTAGGGTTAGAGTTTAAAATTTAAGCTTTAGGGTTTATAATTTAGGGTTTGGTTTAGGAATTATGGTTTGAGATTTGAGGATGGGTTTTAGGGTTTGGGGTTTGGGTTTGGGTTTGGGTAAAACGAGATATTATTTTACCGTGAGTTAAAAGATATTTATTTATGACTTATAAATTTTAATTAAATCCAAGTTATTTATTTATGAAAATCTAATGGGTTGATTAATATTATTGTAAGGAGAAGATAGGAGGGTGAAACAACATGGAGTGGATAACAGCTTCCTGACGGGAGACGTGTTGTTCAAAATATGTGAAGGGAATTTGAATATTTCAAGCTTAGCTTACAGGAAAAACCGTTATAGAAGCACTCCTATTCCATGCATAGAGTTTGTGCGCTTGATTGCATTGACTTTTGTATATCTAATTTTCTTTAGCATATTGCCTTGTTAGCAATCCAACATTTGTACCCAATTGACATAGACACTTTCGTTGAAATTTTATCAAATTAATTCATATACAATGATGAGAACATTCGGCAAACCAGGTTGCTCATGCGCTAGCGCAATGGTCTTCCACGTCGCAACAGTCTCTGTTTTTTTATTTTATTTTGAATGCCCTAGTTTCCATGCTAATCTTGTAATTCATGATGCTATAAATGCTTAACCTGAGTATGTTTTCTTTAAAAAAAAATGATGAGAACGTTTGTCAACCTTTTCGACCCATCAATAATGTACATGTCATTTATACTCAGATTGGATTATATTCTAAATTAAGTTGGTTAAAGAAGCACTTGGATTGATACGCCTACACCGTATCATATTGACATTGAATTTTTCAATTGGTTTTCTTCCCAAAGGTGCAGCCGCTGCTAACGTTTCCTTCCCTTTCGCCTATAATTGACATCAGAGATTCAGTTGGTAGCCTCTTTCTCTTCCAAGTTGGTTGATCACTAGGGCTTTCAACATTCATAATTGGTCCCTTGCCCGCTATGCTTTTAAACAAACCAAATGAAAAGAGAACATAAAGTACGTAAGAGAACAACCTACAAAACCAGATTCTGCGGAACAACATGATTCCCCATTTTGGTAAGAAACGGGAAACAGACAACCCATTAGACAATACTTTAAAAAAATTGTTGCACAAGCTTAGAATAAAGCAAGGCACATCGGATTCTCTCATAAACATTTGGGTAAATTATGCTCAGTACCTAAACTATCAGTTTTTGTCAATTTTAGTACTTAAACTTTCAAATTTTTAAAATCACACCTAAAGTTTAGTTTTTGTTTCATTCTATTACCCGCCATTAAAAACTTCGGTTGTTGTTTCATTTTAGCATCCCATTAAAAATTTAACGTTAAGTTTTGACAAAATTAAAATTTTAGTACTAAAACGAACCAAAACTGTTGTTTAGGTACTAAATGCATTAAATTTTTAATTACATGTACTAAAATGAAATGAAAACTAAATGTTCAGTATGGTTATGAAAAAATTGAAAGTTTAGGTACTAAAATAGACCAAAACTAATAGTTTAAATACTAAACAAGTAGTTTACCCTAAACATTTTAATATAAATAATAATGTGATAAAATGTTCTTAATGATCATTAATGGTCCATTTATTTCACGAAAAATAAATTCAAAAAAATGAATTTTGTAAATGATATTCCCTAGAAAACATTTTCTAAAAATCATTTTACGATATTTGGATGATGTTGTGTAATTCGTTTTTTACTGGTTGATAATTTTCTTAAAAATTCTTTATTGTAAACATCAAATACAATGAACAATATTATTTATTAACAAAATAAGATTATTTTTAAAATATTTGAATAATTTATTTAATATTATTTATGTCAATGTTATTATTAAAATAGTATATCCACAATTTTATAAATAAAAATATTATGGTTATTATGTTTTATTAAATTAAAATTATTAAAAATGAGAATAATATATTATTAATTATATTAATTATTTATTAAAATAATAATATTATTAAAATATTAAAAATTATAATATTAAAATAAAAATAATGTATTTATTTTAAAGAGTATATATTAAATATTCAACAATTCAATAATATTATTGTTATCAAATTAATAAATAATATTAATTTACTAATAATTTATTATTTATTATAAAAATAAAAGTATAATATTATATATTATAATAATATAATTATAACAATAAAATATTATATTATATTATTAAAATTATCAATAAATATAATTTAATAATTACTATTTTATTAAAATGATATTAAAATAATATATTAATATTACATATATAAAATAATATTATTTTGAGTGTTTATGCTTTGAAGTGAAAAGTTCGTAAAATAACTTACAGAAAATCAAATGGTAAGTCATTTTGCAGAAAATACAAAGGAAATTCAGTTGACCAGAAAAATGAATTATATTAACCATCTTTTTCCGCCAACCAAACACTAGAAAATGAGGAAAACATTTTTTAAAAAAATCAATTACAGAGAAACAAATAGAGCCTAAGTATCCAATAATTATAAGTTTTGGGTAAATAACATATTTAATACTTAAATTATCAATTTTGTTTCGTTTTAAGGTCCAAAATTTCATTTGTTTCAAACCATACCTAATATTTATTTTTTGTTTCATTTTAGTACCCACCATTAAAAATTTAATGCACTTTTTATGGGTAAATTGCACAATCAATCACTCAACTATTTTCTTACTCTTATTTTAGTCACTAACATTTAAAAAAAAATCAATTTAACTACTCAATTTTCAAATTGCTCCTATTTTAATCGCTCTAATTTATTTAATTAATAATTTTTGTGATATGACACTTATTGTTATTATTTTATTAATATATAATTAAAACAAATCTCCTCACTCTTATTTTAGTCACTAGAATTTAAAATTTTCAATTTAACTACTCAACTTTCAAATTGCTCCTATTTTAATCGCTCTAATTTATTTTATTAATAATATTTGTGATATGGAATTTATTATTATTATTTTATTAATATATAATTAAAATAAAAAAATAAATTTGAAAGTTAGATGATTAAAGTAGGAGTAATTTGAAAGTTAAGTAATTAAATTAAAAAAATTAAACTTTAGTAACCAAAATAGTAGTGAGAAGATAGTTGAGTAATGAATGACGTAATTTACCCATAAAAAAAGGTATCACATATAACTCACCCCTTAAGTTCTTAACGACGAAGTACTAAAATGAAACAAAAAAATGTTAGGTATGTTTTTGAAACAAATGAAAGTTTAAGTACTAAAACATTATAAAACTGATAATTTATGTATTGGATGTGTAGTTTACCCTAAATGTTTTTTTATTAATTTCAAAATTAGTGTGAATCAGATCTCGTTTTTGAATAAAGTCTCTTAATATTTTTCGTTTCATTCACAATATTTGAATTTAACATCTTGTTTATGAAATATTAAATTCTTTTTTTATTTGATAAATACAAAGGGTATGAACGTTCAATGTCAGATAGTTAAGTGTTATTTTTAAACATGTACTAACTTATACTTCCCCAAATTAATAAAAAAAATTAATGAATTTCAACCTCGTAAAAACAGATAAAAGGATTTTTATTTTTTGTATCCTTAACCAATTGTTACCAACTAGTTGATAAATGCTAATAAATTCAACCATTCAAAGAAAAATAGTAAATGCTCGAAAAGAGTCAATTAATGGGGTTCATTGATTGGACTATATATGCCAATGCAAATGCAACTATGTTGGGTCATAATCAATTCAGAATTCAGATTCGAGACATCAATTCATGAATGGTAGGCCCAATTCAGGGCCATGTCAGAATTTTAACTGGAAGAACAATACATCAAATTTTACCCTCTTCCACGAAATGGCAGGATAATCCCAGACAATATTTTCATATCCAATGCTTTATTTTTGTTAAATTCAAGTAAAGATAACACATCAATTAGAACTTTTTTTTTATCTTAGATCATTGTCATCATGATAATTGGACACTTTTTTATAAAATATATAAATAACTTATAAACCCCGTACTTGTAATTAAAAAAGTACGTGCTTAAATGATAGGAAACTAATTGGTTGATACCAAATGTTTGGGTGCAAGTTTGTTTACCTTCTTGCTCCAGGTTTTTAGAAGCTCTGACGACGACGACGTTGGAATAGGGCTTTTCAGCTATTGCTCTGCAGTTCAGTTTGGGGTCCAACTTCAATAATTGCTTGAGTCGTTGCTTTCTTGGAAGATGAGTAAGACACAACCCCTCTACCATCGTTCTCCATTTGCTATATTTATGATGTTCCTCCGCATTGCTTTAGGTTCTTGTAAGAGGCCGATACGGTAAGACTAATGGAGAGAATGAGAAACCATACTTGTTTTATGTTGATTTTAAGAGCAACGTTAGGGATGGGGATCTTAGTCGGAGCTTGTGAGGCTCAGCTCGCTTACGACTATTATAAGTTTTCATGCCCCAACGTGGAGAGCACTGTGAGAAATGCCGTGCTTGGCGTTGTGCTCACTGATCCTACTGCTCCGGCTGCTTTTCTTAGGCTATTGTTTCACGATTGCCAAGTGCAGGTATTCCTCTCTTAGACCCAGGGTTTTTTCCCCCATTTTTTGGGGCATGATTTGAGGGCACATATGTTTCCATGTTGTATTCTTTTTCTTCTTTTTATGATACAGGGATGTGATGCATCCATCCTGTTGGATTCTAAACCACTTAATGGCAACTTTGAAATAGCTTCTCGAATGAATTTTGGCATTAGAAAGATGGAAACTATTCACCGTATTAAATACAAACTAGAAGCCGAGTGTCCAGGGCGGGTCTCATGTGCAGATATAATTGCCTTAGCAGCCAAGGTATCAGTTGCACTGTCTGGAGGACCTAACATTCAGATCCCTCTTGGAAGAAAAGATTCCACCACATCTAGTCGCCATGCAGCTGATGTGAAGATTCCTCCACCGAACATAACAGTTGATACATTACTCGATGTCTTTGTATCGAAAGGCTTAAACCTCGAGGAATCGGTCGCAATCATGGGTATTCCAATTAATCAGCCATCCCCCAAGGATTTTTTTAAAAGTTTTTATTTTTGTTAATGGAGTTGTTACTCTTGCAGGAGCTCACACGTTAGGAGGTGGACACTGCATAAACATAGTGGACAGGTTATTTGATTGGCAGCCTGACGACCCAATGAATCCTACCTTTAAAGCCATGCTCAGATTACTTTGCCCTACCCAAAAGCCACTGACGAACCTCACCATTGTGCCAAACGATAAGACTTCCTTGGCTTTTGATAACTACTACTATAAAGATGTTTTAATGGGGAAAGGCCTCTTCACTATTGATTCAAGGATGTCAATAGATCGACGAACCGCTCCCATAGTCACAGAGTTTGCTGCTAACAAGTACCGGTTTTTCCAGGTATTTTCTTCTGCATTCGTGAAGCTATCTTCATCAAATGTTCTTACCAATGATAAAGGTGAAGTTAGAAGGAAATGCAACCAAGTAAACTAAGGAAGTCGGAGAATTATGACATATTTTCATTCAACATTTTTGTCATGGTATTTTGTTTTGAACTAGAAGCTTGACATTTTCATGAGGTGTAAAGGGATAACAATCCCCTGCACAATAACTTCCTCGCAAACAAAAAGAATACAACATATGTAAGAGTTTGTTCATTTAATTTACACAGCATGCCATCTTCTTTACACTGCATGGTTTTGCTCAGGGTCAAACCTAACAGTATAGTGACAAAACCGGTTCACAGTTGTTACCTAATTTAGGGCACCGAACGTTCAGGAACAGTCTCCGGTAAGGATGATGAGGACGCACCACTAATTTTGCTAGGGACCGGTGTGTTCCTTCGAGATTGGCGTTTTGTGGGTACTAGCACACTCTCATCTTCTAACTTATTGCTAAATTCCTCCTCTACTTCACCATCGTTGTCTTTGAAAATTGGATGGATGTAAGCATGTTTAAGATAGGGTTTCAAATTAAAGTTTGGCTCCTTTGCACGTTCCAAAGTGTCTTTCATCATTGCTTCCTGAAATAAACGACACAAAAAGTAACGGTTATGATCATTAAACTAAATTCATCAGATAATGATTATACTGAGAATAACAGATTATGACATTGCACTTAAAAACTAATACATCAGAGAGTGAAGTCAGAGAACGAAAGCTTTATGCATGAATGAATCACTGAAGACACAAAGGAAATCATCAGCTAAATATGCAAAAACGAACAAACCTGCAAAGGGTATCTGACAAAAGCAGGTTCATATCGAGCTTTGCAGAATGTGTAAAACCAGATTGTGAGGACAGCAAGAGCAACGAGAAGTGGTGCAGACTGAACCAAATGCTTTGTACTTAACAATCCAATGAGGGCGACATGTGATACAAGCAAAGCTATTATAATGCGTCCATGGACATCAGGCCAGAATGCTGCAGCACTTTCATACTCTTGATTGTAAACATTAATGATCTAGATTTTTCAAAGAAAATAAATAGAGAGAATTAGACAAAGCTAAACAAAGATCCATTTAGGATAACAATTGAATATTATGAATCAAAGGTCTTACCTGATGACGGAAGACAACATATGCTAGCCCAAAGAATACTACAATGAAAGGAAGTAGAGCAGGTGTGACAGTAGCATAAACCATGCCAAGTAGAAAATAGAGTTGTATACGAGGCTCTTCGGTGTTGAAGCCCAAACTACCTGGATCCATTGCCTCCTCCCTGTCCTTTTCTGTTTTCACCAAGAAAAAGTTCTTCAAGTGGTAAAATATAAGCGGTTTCAGCATCAAAATCTCTGCTGCTATTCCAGCCCATCCATCAACCATGATATAAGTAATAAAAAAAGTCGCTCTCATTGGTACACCTACACCAATTGTTTTAGGAATTCTGAAAAGAAAGGAAAATATGTTTAGATCGAAATAAAGTGAAATTTAGACACCAAAATCATAACAAAAAAATGCAACCCAGACTTATTAGTCTTGCGTATGCAGCAAAATATATAGAACTCCACAAATAAGATATCTAGGTAGAAACAATAGAAAATTTAGAAGTTAGTCCAATATAAGGTCGGTCCATACAAAAATTCCTAATGGTTTTATAGAGATCCAATTTTATTCGTAAGATTAATTGCCCCTTAAATTGTAACAGGGATACATCCTGTAACCGCAAGATGTCTTGCCATGCATCCAATTAAAAATATCCAATTTTGACATAGAAACCAAACTTAAGACCACTGGTTATAACTAAGAATCTACATCAAAAGCACAACCCATGAATAAACAGCAACTGAATCACTAAAAGCAGATATACAAAGAAGAAAATAATGAATACATACTCATTTGCCGACTGATTAATGAATGTGTCTAGCTGTTCCATAGCACTGCCAGCGACTACACTGACAAGGAATACATTCACCACATTGAAAAGGTAGTATCTAGTTGCTGATCTCCTTTGTAAGGATGATATTGATGTGAATCCTTCGAACTTGGACATAATCATCAAAATAGTTGGCAGAAAAATGAGAAAGATCTTCAATACAATTCCAGGTAGAAATCCTTGGATAACTGATCTTATAAATTTTCTGCAGAGAAAAAAAGGGCCAAAATTAATTATAATATAATGGAAATCTAAATAGCGACTCAAGATCATGAAATTAAAATAGAACTCACACTTCAGTTAGGGGCTTCAGGAATGGTAATTCTTTCTCAAGGCCCTCAATAGTGGCCAGAGCTTGTACAGATGCAATTGGTATAATGAAGAAGAAAGTAAGGAAGAAGAATGCTACCGCCATGATCAGCCTTCTAACAGCTATAGAGACGTATGGGATTGCCAGGTTTTGCCAGTATACATCCCGTGGCTCAGGTGCCCACTCTGTTAACATCGAAGTTGGATTCCTGACTTGTTGGGTTTGAGCACAGACAGCCGCACCCCATCGAGATTTAAAGGAAACAAAAGCTGCAGGCATTATGGCTTTTGGGTCTTTTAGGACCCTCTCCCTCTCTTCAGCTATCTAAATTTTGAAACAAGCAACCCACATCATCACACGTTGAAACATAACAAGTGGATGAAAACAAAATGCAATAATGATACCACCCCATCGACACAAGATCATTTCATTTAATACAACAAAAAAAATTGCTTCAGACACAAACAAAAGCATCTTAAGGCATTTTCTTGTGATAATAATACTTAATTAAGTCAATCTAGAAAATCATTGTGGCTTGGATGCAGAATATTAGAACAGGCTTGAATTTTTAAACTGAATGAACAACTAATAAATCGGTCCAAAGAGAATGTGCAAGTTGAAAAAGAAATACTTACTTCATTGGATAACTTATCAATTTCAGATATGTGACGATCAATTGCATCCACTTGTTTACCACATAGCCCAAGAAAACCAGTCTGGTAAAGTGATAATATGCTTGTCAAGAAATAAGAAATATAAATCAAAGCTGAAAATCAGCAAGAGACCGGGCTATTAAAGCCAAGACAGAAAGTAGTGAGTTACCTTCATAAGAGGCCTTTTTGCATTATTTCTGGAATACTTCAATTGATAATAGTCAAGCCAATTCTGCATACTTTTCCTCTTCTTCACCAACTTCGCAAGTTTGTTTGCATTGCATACTACCTGAATGTAAGGAGAATCATATCATAAACTGAATTCTATAATAATCTTTGAATTTTAACATTTTGGACAAGAAATATGTAGTAGGACAGTAACAAATTACAAGAAGATAATAACAATATCACTGGAACAAATGCAAGAGGAACTCACCTGATGTGTAAGATAAGTATCCGGGTGATTGACCAGGAAAAAGTGCTCAACAGACTCACTAACAGATTCATCTGTGTCTGGTGGTAAATTTCTAACAATCACCTAAAAAATCAAATTTCATTCAGATGCAGTTTAGTAAAAGATCTAACTCCAAAAATAGCTCAAGGGTGTCCTACTAGCATCTAGGAGACTTTCATGAGTGTCACGGTTCTTTAAGAGAACAATACAACAATAAAGTTTGATGTATTTAACTCCAGTAATTCAACTAAACGTGAAGGATCAATATATCACTGAAAACAACGAAGTTATATAATTAGCTATATAACCTGAGGTTTGATCTTGATGCGTTATTCAAAATCAGGACTACATTCAGTAGCAGTGCATGAAAAATACAACGAAACTGGATAAAAGACGCTTTCCAAAAATGTGTTATTTCTCGAATAAAACAAAATTCATAACTTTCTTCAAAACATACAGCAGAATGCAAAAAACTACTAATAGAGTATAGACATAAAATGTAATGGATTATATGATGTTCTCAATCCCCTCAAGAACTCACTTTTGTCAGCAAGTTTGAAACTGATGACAACAAGCTTAAAGATTAAATAAATTTCATAAACAGAATATCAACAAGAAATCATATTTCCTTGGATTATGATAAAGACCAACGATCGCATCAAAATGATATATAGAACTAAAATAGAAAATTTAAAATAATTTAGAAATCATCTTACGGTAAACTGATCTGGCCGGCGTTTCTCCGATGCAATAAATTGCAACCGCAGATTCGCAACTTTCTCATACTCCTTTAGCAACACAAAGCATGTCCAAAAGGTAAAAGCATAAGCCATTACAATATGAGTCCAAAACCTACAGCATAGGATTAAATATTATTTCACCATAGCCGGAATGAAAGACTCGGACAAAAATAAGTCGGAAGTGATAGAAGATCTCCTACCTGTCTGATCCATCTGGGACGTTCGAAATTGAGAGCTTATCAATGTCACTTGAAGTAAAATTCCTCAGTTGCAACTCCAATGCTTTATTAGTGTAATTAACCGGCACTAGGATTGCCCATGCAAGGAACGTGATAGGGACAAAAATCTTTAGGCTGCATACAAAACAATAAGAGAGCAGTCAGAACAAGACAACGGATGGAATGAAAAATGAACAGCAACTAAATGCCTTTCAGAGCTTATAAACAAACGTGATCAGCAGAGAAATAAAAATGCGATTCGTTTGCCTTAGATTAGCTAACGCATTTCATAAAAACTACATCTTAACCATGAAAAGAAAAAGGGTTTAAATTTAATCATACATAAATACAGAAACCCAAAAACATACTACCTGTCTGATCCATCTGGGACGTTTCGAAATTGAGAGCTTATCATGTCACTTGAAGTAAAATTCCTCAGTTGCAACTCCAATGCTTTATTATGTAATTAACCGGCACTAGGATTGCCCATGCAAGGAACGTGATGGGACAAAATCTTTAGGCTGCATACAAAACAATAAGAGAGCAGTCAGAACAAGACAACGGATGAATGAAAAATGAACAGCAACTAAATGCCTTTCAGAGCTTATAAACAAACGTGATCAGCAGAGAAATAAAAATGCGATTCGTTTGCCTTAGATTAGCTAACGCATTTCATAAAAACTACATCTTAACCATGAAAAGAAAAAGGGTTTAAATTTAATCATACATAAATACAGAAACCCAAAAACATATACAGCTAAAAGTAAGACATAGCTCATTAGCAACAAAGCAATAACAGAGAAAAAAATGAACAAATAAGAA